CTGGGAGACCCCTCCTCAACCACCCAAACCAATCCGAACCACTGGGAGGAAGCTGATTGGTGGTGTTGGTGGTTTTTGCGGAGGGTAAATGGGAAACCACATGCGAACAACAAAAACCACCAATCCAGACCATTCCAGACCAACTAGAGGGAAGCTGATCTTTGCTTTAGTCGCGGGTTGCAGGTCCACATCCGTACTATGACAAGCGCAGTGTCGGCGTGTATGACCATGCTGTGGACCAGCTTGTGCTCGCTTATGCTTTTCCACGGCGCTTGTATTGCACGCCGCGGCAGATGGAATGTGTCACAAGCTGGGGATCAGGTCGGAAACAGGTCTGACACCAGCCGGCCGCTGGCTGTTCTGTTTGGTGGTGGCTAGTTGCCAGAAAGCGCATCAAATGAACATAGACACATATTGCTTCAGAATGCTGCAGGCATTGTCTCCTCCACGTTGAATTGTTCGGGGTGCGGACAAACGCAGCGTTTTGAAGAAGACTGTGTTTCCTTTTCTTTGGTTCTGTGTTTTCCAGACGCGTGCAACCAGAATCAAGGGCTTGGCACTTGGAAAGGCTCTCCTGGATCTTGATGCAACGCCCCAGACCTTGCTGAAGTTCGCAGGGCGTGCGTCGGTTTCAAGCAGTTCTGCGCTGACGCGAGGAGTTTGCCCGATCCTGCCCGAAGCAGTGCGGTCATACAGGGGGGTTCACGGCAAATGACCTCTGCACAAACTGGTTCGCAACGTCGTCACCTGCCCGGGGGGCTTACCTATAGCAACGTCACCGTATGGAGTTTGCGACCTCGAGAAGGGAACTCCCGCAAGCAGACTCTGCTTGCCTTCTGAAACGTTTCGCTTTGGGGTTTCCTTCATTGTCAATTTCAATTTCAACCAGCCTTGGTCTAATTTTTTAAAGGCATCTAAGTCCCCAGTCAAAATAGGGTTTGTGATTGGATTGCCAAGTGCAAATCCATCGTGATCTGGGATCAGCTGACCCCCCTTCCCCAATTAACGAATCGGGGCCCCGGTTCACATCCGTTGAGTTCAGGAGATTTCCCATGGCTTTCCTGTGACTCTCATGACTTCCAGGTTGGTTGGGGATATGAGACGCGCCAAGCCAGTTTTACCAAAGTGTTGCAATCCGACCCTCGGCGGGCGCAATGACGGATAGAGTTACCTGGATGCATCAGGCAGTGTTTCCCCCCAAGTGGCGGATTTTTTCTTGGGATGGGACAGGCCCCAGATGTACCAACCAAGGGGTGTGATTTATGAACTGCTTCACTCATTCAACACCCATAGAAACGTTTCTCACTTTTCTCGGGCTGGAACCCTTCTTTCAGGGTTCCCTCTACCACTTTGAACCATGATGAACCATTGTTTGTTGGTATTTGCAGGGGAATCATCAGAAACCAGGGGGTGCAAAATGGATTTTGCCCATCCACAGTTTTTCCAACCTCCAAGCATCAACCCAAACTTGTTCGGAAGGTTAAGACTAAAAAAAAATCAACCCAACCCGTGTTTTCGCCCAGTTCCCAGCATTTTTGTTGGTCAAACAACACAGACGCGCAGTTTTTGTTGATCATGTTCCCATCACACATCACATTTTTAGGAACACCCGCTCCTTTAAAGGGGGGTCTTCCAGTTCAGAGAGGGCCCATTGTTTTGTCTGCCGACCTACCCTTTGAAACAAAACAGTAGCCTCCAAGAAGGGCCTAGCCTCAAATTTGCGCAGCTCGAGGTGTCAAGTTGCTTGTCGGGCTGTTTCACTTATTTCGGGGAAAGAAGCAACACATTGCACCAACATTGGAGTGTCTGGGTATTTGCCCACAGATCACATCTCCAGCATCCGCTCCTTTAAGGGGGGTCTTCCAGTTCAGAGGAGGGGGTTCCATTGGTTCGTTTGCCGCCCTAGCCTTTGAAACTCCAAGCCGGGCCCCTCGCCGATGTTTGAGCCGGAGGCGGCCGCCATGCGGCTACACCCGGACAAGGGCGGCAACGCGGAGCAGTTCAAGGCGTCGGGGGGATCGGGATCGAAACCCCGCAGGCCGCCGGGTTAGTTCTGCTCGCTGCCTTTGGGACGTCCTCGGCCTTTTTGGTACTTTCTTGGGCTTGGGCCAGGTAAGGTGAGACTTCAAAGTTTGGTTGACTTTTTCCAGGCCTCCCCACCCCCTTGAGGCGGAAATTCGGGGAGGGGGGTGTCCCTGGAACCCCGTGAATGGTTCAATTCTCCATTTTAGGGGGAAGACTAGCAAGATGGAGCCGCGTGCAGTTTCCATATGAGTTTTTCTTCTTCTTCTTTTTTTTTTTTTTAAAGAAAAACATATATTATTATTTTTGTGGTTCAAACAGGGGAATCAAAGGAAACCCACCAATTTGGGGGGCTCCCCTAAAGCAAAAGCACCCCAGACCCTAAAATAAAACACACCCAGATGGAGACGGATGATTTTGCAACTTTCCTGAATCCGGCTCTACCACCCAGGTTGGAATATCTTTGTGATGTCTGCTGTTTGCAGGTCCGAGCGTCAGCTGACATCTCAGCTGTCGGCCAATCAAACCTTTCGACTTGTTACTTGGTGGACGTCCAGGTCCCCAGAGCCAGTGAGACCTTTTCAGGAGAGAAACAACGCTCCACCAGTTTCGGCGTGTCTTTGTCAAGGTTGGAGCCTCCATTTGTTATTTTATTTCGGTGTTCCGTTTGTTTTTGTTTTTTTTTTGCCTCAAAACAGACCAAGAGGGGGGTACCAACTCCAAACAATCACCAGGCAACCACCTTCGCAGCCCGCAGAAATCCAGATCGTTTCAGATGGAAAACCAACTAAGGTAACTATTTGGTTAAAACGACTGCGTTTGTAAAAGGGCTTTAGTAGCTTCGCTTCAGCTAATCTGGGGCATATCTACTGAAAGGCCCCGATTTACCTGCATGGACCCCTTTTTTTTGGGTCCGCTTTCCCTGTCGGGCTCTCTTAAATTGATTCAAGAGTTTTTCAGGTTCAGTACGCATGGATTAGGATGGCTGGAGCCCTATGAACACTGGTTGAACCTGAAACCCTTATGAGTACTTTCTGTTGACCAATGGGATGTGGATTTGGCTTATGACAATGATGAGGTTCGTCCAGGGTGCAGCTGGGATTCGCAGGCTGCCCGCGCCGCCTACGATAGGATCCTTGAGACAAGGCATGAGGGCGATGGGCGAGTCGGGAGCGAGCCGGGCGATGCTTATGGAAAGCAAGGAGTCGAAGCCGCGATTTCAACATCCTGTTGGTTTCCCATATGGGGAGGGTCTGGAGAAAAAACAAACATAAGTGGCCCTCCACGGATCGTTTAGGCAAGCCATGAGGATGCCAAAATCCTCTTTTTCTCATACATACAAAGGGAGGGTCCTTCCATCCATTAAATCATGTACAACCGGCGAGGGGGGGGGTCATGATTTCAATTTGGGGGTGGGGAATTTGCATCAGAACAACCCAAAAAAAAGGCATGGCCACCAAGGGAAACAGGCGTGTTGGCCTTCGCCAACCAAAAAGGGGCGGGGGGTGGGGGGGTCAAATGTTGGCTAGCATCTCTAGCCAATATTTCTCTCTCAAGCTGGCCTCGAAAGAGACTTTGCTTGGGAGGGGCTGATGGCGTTTGACCTGCGGCCAGTACACGCCTCCTTAGAGACATGCGTGGTTTGCAAGCCTCGGCAGCCACGGATGCTACCTAGGAAGAGGACTTGTCGAAATGAGGCGAGTGAAATAGGCACCCCCCTCACCCTTCTGACAATTCCTCTCTGCTTCTCTTCCTTTCTGAGAC